GGCCGAGTGCGACGTGACCGGCATGCGCGTGAACGCATCTAAAACGAAAGCCTAGTGCTTTCTCGTTTTTCTGTCCGCTGCATTCTTCAGATAAACAGAAAAACAAAGGAGCAGGTGGATAAGTTCAAGTTCCTCGGTGTAGTGTTTGTTGGTGGTGGAAACTGGGAGGAACAGATCGAGAGGCAAAATGGAATGCGTGAAATAGCTAGTAACTGTTGTGACTACGGGGAGCTGAGTCTGAAGACTTTGCTGTGTGTGTTCAGTTCGTTATTCATTCCCATGCTCATCCATGGTCATGAATCGTAGGCCGTGGCTGAAGAATTTCGATCTCTAATACAGTCGGCTGAAGTGGGCTTTCCGAAACGCGTCTGGACCTAATCCGGAGTTCAAATGTCCGGTTCGATCATGATTCGCAGCTTTGAGAGCTTCGGCAAGTAGGCCGAATGCTTCCAGAAAAGAAGACGAAAGACCAACTACTGTCGAACCTAACGGCGGAAGACCCCGGGAATGCCAAAGAATATCCTGGGGCAAGCGTATGGAAGGACTCAGGTTACCTTTTGCCATAGCTCAAACGCTGGCACAGGATCGGGAACGTTAGAGACCTTCTGATGCGACCGCTAACGGTGAGCAGTGATTGAAAGTGACTGACTAATTGGTTCAGTCGGACAACTTCCGCACGATATCTTATGTTTTTGGCCATAGATGAATAAGTGTGTTGCAGCACACTGCTAGAACTCGCGGATAAGATATTTGTAAGCATTGCAACGGGATCAGTGTTGCTATCGTTACAAGTCAGGCAAAACGTTCTACATCAATCGTTGATGCTTGACGCAAAATGTCGTAATTTGTACCGGTAAGTAGTGCGTGTGCTGAAGTGCTGGTGTTTGTTAGAGCCACTGCCAGGTGGCCGTCATACCGTTGTCACAGCTAGCATCGAAAACGCAGCTAGAGATGCTACCGCGTAATAAATGACCGTCAGAGGCGAACTCTATTCTTAATCCGTCCACCACGCACAAATGATTAGATTTCGAGCAGCAGAGTTGTTCATCAGTTGTTCAGAGACTAGACGCAGTGATCATATAATCAGATAGCGCGCCACTTGATCAATTCATCTAGGCAACGGCAGGGTCAGTGTGGAGCCGGTTATCCGACATGTCTACACTTATTCAGATTGCATTCTACTCAATGTTTCCGTTTGCGTCGCCCTCATAACTCCATGTATTAGCTTGCTTGCGCTTCTCCAATTAAGCCGTTAATCGAGTGGCTATTGGGGTCCGACTGTGACCCTAGAGTGTTTTCAGCCAACGTACACCACGCTCATAACGTATGTACAGAAACAGTCAGCGGTTCAAGTGGGAATCAGCACCGGCCGCATTAACGCAACCGGCTGAACGCACGTGTTTACTGACAAACATCGAAAGCAAACTTGTTCTAACACTTCGCTATTGGTTCAACGCTAGTCAAAGTTTACGTAATTCTCAACGAGGTAATACTAAGCATCAGCTGATGTAAACGGTAGCAATCTAACATTTTACGACGCTACGTTACCGTTACATTGCTTTCTAACTTGTTGGCACTCATACGGTAGCTGCAACGGCGTAGAATAGGTTAACCACAATGACAGAATTCGCTACCTCACCCAATTCCACGTTTATATGGCTGCTAGAAATAACAGCCGGTATACATGTAAAGTAACTGGCATCTGATCTGGCAGCCATTGCCGTCAGCGACCTTATTTTGAAGTCACGAGCTGCGGCTATTAATTCTGACGCAAAGCACCATGTCATAGCCGCAGGTCGCAAATCGCCGCAAAAATATCACAGCTTCACTCATAACTCGGCGATCAAAGGGCCGCTGTAACGCATTTGCGGACAGCGTTTCAGCTTCTTCGCGTGCGGTTGTCATTGGCGAACAGGTGAGATAATAAAACACCGGTCGTCACGTTAATTAGTCAGTTTCACACGGTATTGTCGTTGTAAACACCACTGAACATCGGTTGGCTCTTCATCACGATGCATAACATTCGACAAAGTCATATATCTGCAACTGGCGAAGTGTGGTTTGGAATTGAGGAAATTAAAATTTAGCATGCTTTAGGGACGTTGCTATGTACACAAATGCATCATAATTATCCGTTGTTAATATTACAGCTGTTCGTTCATAATCAAACTTTTACTTGCCTTAAAGTGCAACATCTGGGTACGAACAACTTAATTTCTGAAATTCGTTAGTGGCTAACGAATGAATGTCGAAACGTCAATGTTGAAATAAATGGAGTACGTCAGAAGAAAAAGAGGCTACTATTGTGGAGAAAGAAAAATTCATGCATGATCCTCTTATAAAATTCAATAATGAAACAGTAAGTTCAGAAACATTGCGAGTCAGAGGTGCCCTGCACTCGAGGACGCTATTAAATCTTTATGATGAAAGTATGAAACACACTCAAAGTGATACGCCAAAATATCATTCCAAGGCGCCACGGTACAATGGCACTTTATCACGGTTCATCAAAGGCCCATTGCTTCATTCAGTTAATACTGTTTTTCCATTCATTTGCTTTGCGGTATCTTCAGGGTGTAGGAAGTAGCAGCTTCTTTACAGACAGTTCTGGTCAACGTAAGAGTAGCTTTCCATAAGGCGGCTCTATTGTTGCTCCACACATGCCAACAGCTGCGAAAGATTAAGGGAATTCAAAAGGCAGTCAACCAACCTTTTTAAGAAGGCCGGTTAGACACGGGCCAAAACGTCGATATGGTCATTCGTCCAATTGATCATAACGTTCGTGCTTGTATAAACAAACCGCATTTTATGCTATTTTCGGTAAATCGTGTTTATTGCTAATGAAATGTATAAACAGACTGCTGCTTTATGGATATTGAAAAAAATCATTGACCATTAAATTTTAATTTACAGTTTTAAGTACAATAATATCGCAACGATGGTGCTTGAAACTGGCCTGACATCGCGTTATATTGGCATTCGCAATTTGTTCGCTACTCCTAAACTTTAATACGATAATTTTTGCTGTTGCCAGCCATTACAATTTACTTGGAAATGCTGGTCGAGTTCCACTAATCATGATCATTTGATTTCTTACGATGCATCGATTACAGGCATCTGTCGAAGAGAATGCCCTCTCTGAGTGCAGGGATGTCTCTACTTTTCTCATATATGATAAATGTTTCAGCTATACGACCATGTTATTTTGTTTTCACTCGAGTACATGACTGATAAGTGAAAGCTGAACACTTCTCTTGAAACAGTTCATCAGACAAACCCGGCGTCCTTTCAATGGCGTCGAATTTCACAGTACTTTTATTTATGTACTTTCAACAGCAACACCTGGCAGTGCCAAGGTGTTGCGTCCATTAAATCAAATAATTAATCATGACTCCGTTTAGCAATACACGGTTTGCCAACCTTTGTGTTAATTGTTCAAAGAAAATTTACATTTTAAGAATTTATTTACTTTTATTGTATTTTGTTGTTGAAATTTTGCAAAATGCATTTCTATATTCTGATAAAAAATAGGTTAAAACAACTGATTCTGTTTTTATGAAAACCTATCGCTTTTCTTCTTCAACAGGTATGCATCAGTCATGGGTCACCAGCCATTCTCCTCCCTTCTTGCACGTGAATTCACTGTCCTGAAAAACTTTTTGTGGTTAAAAGGTCGGAGCCTCATGAATTAATTTGAATTTTTCATTTATTTAGTTGTTTCTTATGCATGCTATTCCAAGAAACATCCACAAAAATCGCTTACCTTCTGCGCGAAGGTCATTCGAATGGTGGACATTTTGGATGGTTTAAATTGCTCGATTCTGCGAGGATTATGGAACTGCGATGATAATTGACATTTATTGTGCTTCGGAGCGACCTGCTGAAACTTGTGTAGAAAAAATGTGCTGAACTTGTCCTAACAGGAAATGAATGATGGTCGTTGTGGCAAAAAACATCCGCATCAAAATGTTTTCGCACCAGGTCATTCGTCACATTTCTATGATCTTCGCTGCTCTGGATTCTAGGGTTTCACAGTCTATCTACCTGTATTTCGACGACATTTTCGAATTTCTGTCAGTGGATGTGAAAAACTTCATATGCTCTTGCTGCAACGATTCTTCATCTTCGCATTATTTTTTTCTTATCTTTCAGTTCAAATCTGATTGTATGCCGTTGTCAACTTTCTTGAGTTCAACGTTCAGACTGCAATTGCGAACTTTTTTAATTTCTGTCTTGCCTCTTTGCTAAAAATTAGAATTGCTCGCGATTTTAATCAAATAACAAGCAGTGTTATCCATACTACGTTGCGTTACAGCACATCACTGAAAGCTGCCGGATAACAGTTGCTCTTGTAATTCTTAGTATCGTAAGCCTGAACTAAAATGTTGACAGTAGGATGAACCGCATAGGCGAACACGCCATTATTCGCCTTTAACAAGAAAATCAAGCATTAGTTTCATTCAGGTAACATTTTAGACGCTGATGACGGAATTTTTGTGAATGGCATTCATGGAGCAGCGAATACTGAATTTTTCGCTTCTAGTGTATTGTGTGTGAGATTAACCCTGACCAACAGTAGGTGTGCTGCAGGACGGCAGAAAAAAATTATTTGCCTCATCATAAAACTGAGGAGTCTTCAAGAGAGCACGTTCTCCTGAGAGCCATTTGTTTTGTCTTGTTTAGACAAAATACGATCGTCTTGGTGTGTGGGCGAATGCTATACCGGACAATCGCGATCGCAAAAGAAATGAAGGTCAACTACTGTGTATGATAGGTCAGCTGTTAAAGCAGATGCACTTGATGGCGCGGGCATTGGACAGTTGTCAGCAGACTCTGGCGACGGGACTCACTACGACCATGGCATACCTACGCACACATCGGGATGCCATAAAACATTAATGGCTACGGACAGCCTTAATCAACGAGCTGAGTAAACACTGTCAGACCATAAGCCACCGGCACAACGCTCAGACGGTACAGTCAGTCCAGCGAACGGTGGTATGTGCGACATTGACAACGAACATTACGTAGAAAGGTTTTGCTGCGCTCCGACTTCGTGGTCTATCATGAACGACTACCAGCACTTCAACTGCGAGGAAACCTTCGACTTCACTGCCAACCGTGCACACACCAACAACGACTTCGATTTCATCGAAACGGAGGCGCTTCCGCAGCACCTCGCGCTACCGTACAGAATTCCCTGGAATTTCGATGAGCAGATGGGTTGTGATGATGCGGACTGGCAAAAGAGCGTCAGGAAACGAATCGCGTCAATCAGTCGAGAAAGACGACGCAATGCAGCGATCAACGTTGCATTTCAGAAACTACAGGGTGCCATACCGCACACTCCAAATGGTAGAGCTGTCGCTAAGATACGAACGCTTCGCTTGGCCATTCGCTACATACAATACCTGAAGCAGCAGCTGGCCACAGACGTCAAAAATGATGTTGGCGAAAGATGCGGTGAAGAAGTCGAAAAGTCGATAAATGATTTCACGAGCATCGCTGAATTTGAATTGAACCGCAAGAACAGTTACGCAATTAAAGCCCGGCACTTTTGGACGCCTCTGCCAGTCAAGAAAGAGTTTTACTAACAAGTTCGTGTTTATTTTATTTCGCTTTAACAAGTAGCATATTTTGTCTTACTGTAAATAAACGGTACGACACCGTTCGATGCACAGATATGCGTAGAAACCGGGAGCATGGTAATCGACTCTGTATAGAAGGTGCATAAATTCCTTTAACCTTATACAAAACAAACTTCTTTTAACGACTTGTGACGATCATATTAAGACGTACCGCACTGAAAGGCAGTCGATCAGAAATGGCTAAGACTGATGGTAATTTTCGGCTACGTAGAAACACCTTTTCTGATAATACAGTGTTTAATTGCATTCATGCTGAAAAAGAGCACAAACATTTTTTCGTCGTACACAACGCTAAAGTTCTATCAAGTGTTGGAACATTACTTACTGACTTTCAGCGCCTACATCAAAAATCCTTATGGTGAAGATGATAATCTTCCATTGTTGCAGTTGTTAGTGTTAGTGTGTGGCAGCCGCAGCATTTCGAACTATGAGGATCTACAGTCTCAAGTCTGCAGAAGGACCAAAGCCGAAACTCGTCATCAAATACACTAATTGTTTGTGCTCATATCGAAACAAAAGTTAAAACAGATTTGGAACTTGTTAGAGAAAAGAGAGAAGCATGGGCAGCAAAGCAACAATTAATACTAGTTGAATGTGTACATGATATGAGGTATGCACCGTTAAAGGCTAAAGAAACGAGATAGATTACAATAAATCCTAGAAATATAACTCAATTTCAGGTTCCTTACGTGTGCAATACGTTTCTGTTTGAAATAAGTATAATTTTTCATAAATACACGTAGTAATGGCACAGTGCTGGTTTCTAATTGACGTGCCTATTTCCCTCCTCTACAAAGCCTTTATTCTTACCCAGAGTGAAAAAGCTATCAGAAAAAGAACTAACCGCCCTCTCATCACACCAAATTGAAAGATGTTACTGTTCAACCCTGTTGTCCATGAAACGGTTGAGAGTTCACTGAAATAAGACCCTTTTCGATGATTTTTTAGCCTCTGTAGTACATTGGTGTATTCAAGTCGTTGTGTGGTTTACACAATACGTTGCTCGTCAACAGAGATCTCAAAAATGATGTGCCTTGTGACTCCACAGACACCACATCTTTTCCCAACCCAGTCAGAAATACAGGCTTTTAAGAGCAAGAATGACAATCAACACCACTAATTTTGATGTCTTCGAATGTGAAAACAGGAATACAATTTTAAAAAGTTGTTTAAACCTTTAAATGTTAGCAAACGGGCATGCAGCACTTTTGTCTGCTCTAATGTTAAGGTAAAATAATGTGTAATTTTTTTGGCAGTATTACGATCCCACGCCAAAATTTTTACCATGTGTACGATTCAATTAAACTAGATAATGCATGTTTTGCGACTGACATGTTTGATCATTGCTTGAACTGAATTAAAATGTTACTGCCGACAGTCAAGTGCCAAAATACAGTACTATGCCACATCACAGATATTCAAGATAATGGTTAGAATTCAACTAGTCTCTTGTAGTAGTTCAACTCTCTTAGGCCTGCAAACATTATGTCACCCATTAGTTAGATGCAATTTCTGACGCATGCAAATCGCAAATACAAGAATCGCAAAATTCCAACCGCCTGAAAAATGAGCGCTGACGTACACGTCGCTTGAAAGCAAATTAACTTACTTACTAACTTTCAAGAGGGCTACGCCTGATCAATAATTGCGTTTCAAGCAAGATATCATAAGCAAAATTTCGCTGATTGAAAAACATTTTCAGTTACTATTGGCCGGCACCAAGACAGCAGCAACATAACTTTCAAGGCAATCCTGTGTCATGTTGAATAAGCACTGTCTGTTTTACTGCTCAGTAAACACAAAATCACCAAATAGAAACTATATTTTCCAAATTGTTGATTCACTGTTCGAGCCAATAAATATTTTAATCGGCCCATACTATGAATCAGTATATGTGATATTCACTTAGTATTGATCCATAATCGGGACCAGTTTTAAAAGTTTGAAATAATATTCAAATAATAACATCAAAAGACAGACCTTTTGGCTACATCGACAAGTTTAATTATACAGTAGAAAACAGACAAGAAATAAGTGCGCAAACTCCAACTTCCAGATAAATATTGCAACAAAATATAGGGATAAAAAAACAACTAAACAGAACAGCTAAACTCAAAGAGCTTCATTATTAACGGATAAGTGATCGCGTATTGCGGCTTTTCCTGTTCAATTATATGTTGCGCGTATGACTCGACAGTACCGCGAAGAAATGACAGACGGTCAGCTTCGGAAGGATGATTTTCGAACCATTCTAGGATACAACAACTTTAGAAGCATATGACAGGTTTATATAAAAATTCTTGAGAAAAAGAAAAAGGTACCTGCATATCTTGTCAGTGACCAGCCAACTGACTGATGCGGCGACGGAAGCTCTTCCGGACTCATCGAAATCAGCAGCTGAATGATTAACGACAGGGGTATGCAGAATCCTGGTTGTACGCATGTTGATACGATTTCTTCGGCGCTCTGCACAAGAAGCGGTCGAAAGGATCGCAGCATAAGATAAGGTTCACCAACGTCGCTCAGACGGTCGCATAGGATATTCATGACTAGTTCTACCTGAGCGCAGTCAGCCGCTAGGCACAAACGGCGATGGTTCGACAATGGCCTTAACAACGTGGCATGTAGAATGAAGAAACGACACATCTCCTGGGCGATTTCAATAGCAACGTTTTTCATATATTCCGTCTGTTCGAATGGACTCAGAAACTGCTTCTGCACGCGGGACAAGAACTCCTGCAAAACAAGTCCTTCAGTCATTGAAAAACTTTACAAGTCATTTCTGTTCACCTGTAACTCTCGCATGTACAGCGAGCATTGGGGTACGGTTTTGAAGGTTTCCAGAGAGGCTTCAAACTTCTCTTGGTGCATCGTTACGACGATAGCCGTTACAGCATCGATGATAGACTGGACAAGAGGCTGCACAGCACTCTGCTGAATCGACTGTACAGCGCTTAGTGAACTTTTCAAAGGATCAGCCTGGCTACCGTAACGTTCACATAAAGGAACTAAGAAACGCTGAAGATAGTTAAGGCAGTTAACGATGCCGACATTGTTTTTCTGTTCCGCAGTGGGGTTGTCGATCACCTGATAGGCTTCGCCGCTTAGCTGCAACGTATCCTCACATTTCCTGCAGAACATTTCCACCGCCTTCGTGGCATTTCGGACAACCTATTGATAACAAGCCTCAGTAGTAGCACTATAAGACTATTTCTATATTAACACATACTGATAGAGAGTGAATCCATTATGCGGCAGAACTTAAAATTGCAAAAATAGTTTACGTAACGACACAGCATGACAACTTCATCATGTATAGAACTTTCAATCATACTCGACACGTCTTCAGAGAGCAAAATCAAAGCAAAAAATAAGTTTTTCTGGATGTTCTTCCATGAAGACGGGTAAAGTATGATCCGAAAAGTAAGAATACATAATTAAGTTGTCATCCTGCAAAACATTTCTGCAATTTTCCTACTTGGAGCTGTGGCATATAAACGAATTTACATATCAAAAGTCCAACGTTCGAATGTATGTTACTTGAAGCGATAATCACTTTCAGCCCTTTGCAGCTGCAGGACATCTCTGGTTTGTGATATCCGCTGCATTTTAACACCTTGCTACGAGAATAGTAACAGAGTCGTAGAAAGAACGACTTCCATCGAAACGGGTGAAGGAATCTATCCTGCTTAATTACGTCCAAGTAGACGTACTCCTGGTCGACGACTGCGTGCTCCGATACCCAAATCGAAGATTCGCGGACTTGAATGAACAGCTCGTGCGCCATCAAATCTAAATCCATTTGCCAAATCTGGTCAACCTTGCTCCACTAATCTTTCATTCTGCTGAGGATGTCGTTGCCGAGGAAGGAACAGTCATTCCTAATAATTCTGTCATTTGGCTCTAACTGGGTTTTGAGGCCAGCGTCTTTATAAGCTGTTTAAATCCTTACTGATTTCGCTGGAACAACAACTTCTATAGCGCAGAGTAGCACTGACGTGACAGCAGTAACGTCATTCAGTCAGCCAGTCAGTCAGTAAGTCAATCAATCAATCAATCAGTCAGTCAGTCAGTCAGTCAGGCAGGCAGGCAGGCAGGCAGCCAGTCAGTTAGTAAGTCAGTCAGCAAGTTTCAGTCTGACACCAGCAAAGAACGTACATGCACCATGTGGTTAGACGGTTCGAAAAACAGTTGGAAACACTGGTATAGTGGGAGAGTTGGATAGTTTAGAGTAGAACTGCCAGGAGCTACTGTTGTCTTTCCCATTCATCTGATTAGAACAGACGTCGCTACCGCAGTTATGGAGTCGGCCAGATAGTTTCAAAATCTTCCGGACGCGAGCCAGTTGCTTTCTCGGGAGACTACCGAAATAGAGAAACAGCGGAAGAATGTAGGAATTGTTTCAGTCTTTCGGTACTTCTGAACAAACGCACAACCTCTTCAGTCTGCACAACACTGAAACCGATTGCTGTTCTTTACTGACTGTTGCATTCATTCCGTTGTTCCCAGCCAAGGTACTCATCCACAGTCAACAGAAGTATTTTACGTCTGAAATTTTTTCAAGCAAGTTTTGCGGAACTGCGCAGTTGTTGAAGCAATTCTGTGCAGAACCTGACAACTTACATGCCTTGCATGATGGAAATTTCATTCCACAGACTGCTTCGGATTAAGTATTGGGTCACTGTCGCTCATCCAGCCCCCAACACCTCTTGAGTGTGCACGAAGAGATGCGATCATTCAGATCTGGACTTTACTAAAGCCAATAGAGTACTGTCGTACCTCAAGCACGTAATCGTAGCGTCGGACCAGTGACATCGTGACATGAATAAGAGGAGCAATGTAGGCAACAAAGAGCATCCTTGCGCAACCACCTCGAGTCGTCAGGCAAGCTAATGATTTAATTCTGCCGACCTGAACAAACTCTTGGAATCTCGAGTAATACGTAGCCAACAGTATGAACAGCGGAAGTTTTGAAAGAGTATTGCAGACTGAGCTGCAATACAGAGAGGCATCATTTGTTAATGCTTTCCTTTCGTCGTGGTTTCTGGCAATGGTGTTGACATCATCAGCATCTGCAGTACTGCGTCGCTGCATGTATCTTATTTGCCAAGGATAGACATGTTCCAACACTTTTGAATAAACTGATGGCGAGACGATCCTTTCCAAGAATTTAAGCTCAATTGGAGCCACTGCAATGGGTCACCAATCTGGTGCTTAGACAGTTTAGGAGATTTCGGAATAAGAGTTATTCGCGCCATCTGCCATTTGAATCTCACACTATACCTTCACCTAGGTAGCAGTTGT